AGGTAGAGCCTGGGTCGATGAGAAGTCACCTCGTGCAGACGCAGTAGTAGAAAGCTAGACAAGGACATCAAACTTCCATTGTCCGTATTTGGTTGCTATATGGTTTGCATGGGAGTTGACATCGGTTATTGTACCCGATTTCAGGTTCAAATCCATTCTTTGATATTCCTGAACCAGTTTAAAAATTAGACCGTGAATATGGGGAGAAAACTTGAGAACTAAACAGTGCCGTGAACTCTGTCAACTGTTCTTCATAACCCATAAAAAGCAAGTTGACACCTTCATTGTTGGCCAAACATCTAACAGAAAAATTATTTGAATCTTTCATACACTGCGTGTTCTTAATAGAATTATGCTCCATCAGAGCAAAATCTCGAGTTCAGGGTGGTGCACAAAGCGAGTCGAACTGCGGGTCTCCAGAAGCATGGCAGAAGCCGTCGTGGAACAGCCGAACCTATGTCGAGTGTCCTGAGCCGAGACCGCCCGTCAGTACTTCTCCCCCCGAAACTGAACTTGAACCAAACAATCAGGTTCAACGAATTATGTTATCTATCTTAACCCTTTTATTTACTGCCTTTTTCTTCTTAATGGCAGGGTATGCTGCGAAATATAACTCGTATGAAATGCTGAGATATTTGCAAAACTCCGGACCACAGCTGTATGCAGTGGGGAACGAACACGCGCTGTTGTCCTTGCTGTTCATCCGGATGGTGTAGTGGTGAAGTGCGCTGCTCCCCGGTAAGGACAACAGCGCGTGTTCGTTCACCACTGCATACACCTGTGGTCCGGAGCTTTGCAAATATCTCAGCATTTCATACGAGTTATGTTGTCTATGTTAAACTGGTATTTTGCTCTTTCTCACCAAAAATATCTGAAGCAACTTTTTAAAGTGGTATTTTCCAATTCAGAAATCGATTGAACAGAATAAAACAAGCTATCTTAATATTTGCACTATCCGATACTACCCTTATTGTTAAAACATTTTTTTATTTTATATAACCGCTCTTCACGTCTACTGTGCGGATCCCAGTACTTCTCATATTAAATTAGTTTCCTCGCATCCATTGTCCACGAAGATCTTCCAACTTTACGCGCGGCTTCGGTTGCCGCTTGAGGATCTTCATTTCATCTTGAATGTAGTAGAATGCTGATTGAGTAATTCTCACTGAAATCCTGAAATAGCCGAACTGGAGCGTTCCCAATTGGATTGCAGAGAGTGATTTTTTCCAGTCAAGTCCGGTACCAATTTCTCGAACCCGGAAGGATGAGAGGTTTGGTTAGCCCGGAGCGAAATCAAACTAGTACTATGCTTGTGATGGCGAGCATCACTACCACTGTGCTATCGACTCCAATTGTTAAAATATGAAGTGAAAATTCTTTAAAGCAGAAATCTGTCACGCATAGAAGAGATAGACAATTAGCCTATCATGGAAACATCCCAACTCTTTTTTTCCGAAATTGTTTCCATGTATTGAAAACTAATCGAGCATTAGAAATTTGGAATATTTAAGCCTCAGTAAACGACTTATTAGTTACCAGTCATTTGAAGAGATCTATTTTCCACGTTTCCTCGCTTCCTCGAACATCTGCCGATATTCCCAATCCCGTTGACGGGTGATTGCTGATGATACTGATCGATAGAACTAGCTGAGAGTCAGGCGAAACGAAGGACCCTCATGGAGTGGTGGTGAATGCGTTAGCCCCTGGAAAGGGTAGTAGCGCGTTCGTTCCTCACCACAGACAGCTGCGATCCAGAGTATTGCAAATATCTCAGCATCGTTGTGGTTGTATCTCTTAATAGTCACATGTTAAACACAATGCTGGGATATTTAAAGGTGGAAATAGACGTTTCACGTTCGTGCCTTTTATTCAATGTTTTTTATCAGTTTATAAAGTTGCGCCAGGTTTAATGCCAACTATCGACCAATTATTTTCTTCCCTCACTTCAAAAATTGTTTCTAAATTACTGTTTTGCGTTTGTTCTCCATAGCAGGAATCATTCTTTTACTAAATCTACGGAATTACATACTTCAGCTGGAAACTGTAGAATTGCCTTGTTGTTAGTTTATGTACTTGGGGAATCCGAAATAATCAATTGAGCTTTCATGTGGGCTTCATCGGAACTGGCTGGAAAGTTATGGTGAGTTGGCTATTGGTTTCACTGAACAACGCTGCATAGCGTTACAAGTTACTTATCGTTTTTCATTTGAAAGTCTTATTCCTCTTTGGATAGAGAAAAACAAGGCGGACAAACGCTGAGAAACAAACCCGTCGTTTTTCGCAGAGATTAGAAAAAGTACAAAAATTCTTTTGAAGGTTCGGTATCGGTTCGGTATACTTGGTTAGATACCTAAATGCCAGTGGTCCATATCGCATAAACTGATCTTCTTTAGTTGAGGTTGCTATAAGTGTTTGTTGTCGTTGTCGTTGTTGTTGGTCGATGGCTGACGTTTCGGCGATTTCGCCTTCCTCAGAGCCTGGACGTATTTTACATTAGAATACTTTAATTATTCGGTGGAAAAAAAGCTAAAGTATTAATGAAGATCAAGCTTTTAAATAGATGGTGGGTTAGAATGCTACAGTCAAATGTAGTTCTACGCCATATTGAACAGAAAGGCTGCTCACCCGAGTGGGACTACGAGTGGGACTGGACTACGCGTTGTTCACGTGGGGTGGCGAACAAGACACACCTCGGGGTCAAAATATCATTTCGGAATAGGGCGCCAGGTCACAAATTTTTTTCTACCGAATAATTAAAGTATTCTAAATAAAATGCGTCTAGGCTATGAGGAAGGCGAAATCGCCTAAACGTCAGCCATCGACCAACAACACCGACAACAACGACAACGTTAACGAAGACCTGTACCGACCTCTCATCAGCTAAAGAAGATCAGTTTATAAGGCTATATAAATAAATATATCAGCTATTTATGCCAAGGTTTATAGAAAGTCGGTCTTTTAAATTATTAAGAGATGGTCACGTATCGTTTTGTTCTACTTCAAGGCACCTGTATTCTGTTATCCTCGTTTGTCAGCTATATCCTCAAGATTAAAATGTGCTAGCTTTCTGAACCCTGCTTCGTTGTGAATTGAATATATAAAAGTGCTTTATAAAAAGAAATTTAGATGCTGGTTTTCGTACGACAACGCAAAACCTCGAAAAAACGTCAGCGAAAAATAGTAGCCGGGAGGCTGTTTCAAAAATGGAGTGGAGAAGATATGGACAGGTAGTTCTTCCCTTTTTGCAAAAACGGAATCCTCACTACATTTACCAAGAGATCAGCTTAGAGTAGGATTGTGGCCATCATGCTTCCTTCTATGATTTCGCCGCTATTTGGAATGATAAGGGTAGGTGATGTTTGGGATAAGCTAAACACACGCGTTGTGACCTTTGGTGATATCGTTTCTCACACCACGAGATAGTCTTTGAACAATGACTGCTACGTTAGTTAATCTTTTATTCATTCAACGTAGAAAGCAGTTCTTATCTTTGACTTATATGCCACTGCCCCGAGCTCACCAAACCATCCATGCCTCCAAGGTCGACAATTTACTATCAGACCTGTCTGGGAGGACGGGAGCACTGACACTGTATGGGTCAGTTGTGCTTTGCTTTATGAGCTTTAGAGTTCATATATTTGGGCTGCCCAGTGATAAACTTGAGCAGCAGTGTTTTAGTCAATAAATCCACGGAGAGCTGGTTGATTTTTAAGATCGAGAACATAGATTCCGATTCTTCTACTGCTTGGACTTCTACGAAATTTCAACCAGCAGCGCGCTGGCGACGACGTTCGTCACTGCGACTGCGTCGACGAACACGCCATACATCATCGTCGTGATTTCCTTGTGATTCGCTCGTTCCCATTTATGACAAGGACTTCTGTGGTGTTTTCGATGCGGTGCTGTTTGTGCAGACAGATCAACGAGTATTTCTGTTCTCGGTGTAAAGAAAACTCACGTCACATCGTCTCATGTCTAAAACTCTACGATTATTTTAGAAATACGTTAAAAATACTGCGAAAAAAGATGAAAAACTAGAAGAAATTCCGAAATTTGAAGGTTTGAGATAAAACTGAACTTAAATTTATCGTGTTGGCAGAAAAAAAATATAGGATAAAGCTCTCAGCGCTGATCAATCCCTTAGGGATGGGCCATGAATTCGACTTCATTAAGCATCGTAGGAGTTGGTTGAATGCATATCTGGCCTTTGTAAGGACTTGTAGTGCTCTACTTACGTATCGAGCCTGTACTGCTATATTCCCAGACAAGTCTGATACCAATTTGCCGACCCTGGAGGGTTGGAAGGCTTGGTGGGCCATAAGCGCGAGGACCGATGTCATGTGTGTGTTGCTCTGACCACTGTGCTACACGCGCCCCTAAGTAATTTTTGCCAATATTCAATGCATAACTTTGACCTCTGATTACTGAACATTACAATAATCGATTTCAGGTTTTGTCAGAAGCTGTTTCCAATCAGTTTTACATTCTGCAATCTGATATACTGGATGTATTACACGGCGAAATCGAAAGACTAGCCGCCGTAACTCTGGTCACCGGTCGGAACGAGTCGATACGACTCGAATGCGGTTTGGAGTTGAAGGATTTCGTGAATCGCACTCTGGTGCTCCAGTACAGCTTTCTCATTCCTGGGCTCTTCACCTCACACATTCCTTCCTTCAAAGTGGCCTTCGTCTGAGCTTCAATTTCAATTGCAAATAGCTTAACAATTGAATAAATCCTTATTGAATGCTGTGATCGTGCATGAATCTGCCAATAAAACAACGTAGCGACGTTGATCACTAGTATCTAAGATAATGATTGCCAAAAGATTGGAATATATACAAGCACATGAACAACGACCCGGCGGTAGACATAAAGCAAAAGTTTTGTGTGCAAATAATAATAGTAATAATAATAATGACACTACACTGCATATGTACACTTCAAAGACCACTGCAAAATACAGTTAGCGTAGGGAGGCAAGCAGTGCCGCAACCGTCTTAGATTCTGTAGACGACGCTACCACTGGATATTCGCCTTTTTGCAAGTTTCGAACAAACGTCGTCTTCGTCCACCTGAGAAGAACAACTTCTAATGGCATAACATTTCAAAGTGGGTCCACTCATCCAGATTTTCATCATAAATAATTCCAGCATTCGTCAAGTTTTTGGTCTCATGATCGTTCTCAACAGCCTGTTTTCGTAAATAAGTTGAATACGGAACTTTGAACTGCACTCACCACCGGCTGGGAATTTCGTAAACACCATTGTGGTTTATCTAAACGCACTACAACAACGAATTTCACGGTGGTTTCGCCTCACGAGAATCGTTTCTTAGTGTTCAATTGCGTAAATGGGCCACTTGGCACTCATTATAGCCAGAAATCGATTCTCTCCCCCTTAAATGATAACAAACAGTTGCTTAGACTTCGCGTCAAAAAGTCTCTCTTCCTCAATTACTATCAATACCAAAAATCTTGCAACCTCATGGGGAGCATGTAGCTCAGTGGATAGAAGTTCTTCCTACAATGTCAAAATGACAATCTCTAAGCTATCTCGTAACTAACTAGTGAAATATCAGGCAGATTTTTGAGTATTCTGAATTATTGACGAAAATAAGGCAAGTAAATCACTTGGATTGGATTTACCTCTTTGATCGTATCATCGTCAGAATCAGTACTCTTCTCTCGTAATTTTTGTAGCTTTTTTCGAAGCGAAGATGCAGGGGTTGTCGGTACCGTGGAGGGAGCCGAGCCCCTGAAAAACACTCTTTGTGTCGAACTCATCAATACATAAAACCACGAAATTACCTTCTGTTGAGTTTGTTATATATTTTGGCATCGGCGGCCGTGGAACGAACGCCCATGGATTCGGATCGCTGTCGTCCAAGTGTTGGTATTTCTTCCTAGAAGTGCCAAAGTTTTCAATTATTAACTCACCATGACATCGGCTTTTTGAGATTTTTTAACTAATGTTATCATGAATTTATGTTAAAATGCAACAGAGGGCTCTATTATCCCCGTTTGTCCATGGGCCGGCCAAAATGCACACTTTTAAGGAGGTAATAAAACACCTCACGAACTATTCTGAAGTAATCTGAGTAAACTTTACAAATGATTTCCATTAATCTAATTAAACTAATTTGGATTAAAGCGCCCTCTCAAAGAGATCCGTGGTGGTCTCAAATTTTCTAACTTTGCCTTCGTACGTTAGCAGTTGCCGTTTGAGCCTTCGATTTAGTCTTTCTTCACACAAAAAAACTTATTTCGTTGATAGATTTATCACGACCACTTGATAGAAACAAAGCCACTTCTCACTAGTAAACCAAATGACACTTGATCATTTTTACAATATATTATTGCATAAAGATGCTTTGATAATTTTAAAACAGGGGGAAACATACAGCGAAGCATCTCTTCATAATCCTATCCGCACGGTCCAGTTATGTCGCACAGTGGAGACGCTGACGAAAAACTCGTTTTATGGTTGATGGAAAACAAATTTTTACCTTAGAAGTTTAAGACCGAGGAAAATACATGGAGGCTTATACAGTGTTTTGATACGAGTAATTGTCAGGTTTTTTTAAAAAACATGCCTTTAAAACCGCCTGATGGAACGAGTAGAGAAAAACACGCTATTGGTAGAACTTATTTTTTGATAAAATCATAGCGTAGCAGCCAGATGCTGAACTTCATATCCAGACAAATGATTTTACTAGTAAGATTTTGACCAGCACCGATATAAAGTCGCATTCATTTCCCTTCGCAATCAACTGCAAAGGGGTCCGCTAGTGAAACGGTTTAAGGAATGCGCTTGATGTAAAAACAATACAGCTGTTTTAATTTGGACTCTTTTATAAAACATGTTTACAAAAGTCCACGATGGGCCAGATAAAGCTGAAAGTTGACTAGGCTTGAAGCTGTGAGCTCTGGAACGGCGCAGATGTATGAGCCTACCGTGCCAACGCTGATGAGTAGAGAGTGGCGGCGGACCTCATTGGGCTCCTTCTTTTCTGGTTTTGTGGAAGCTGACTCCGCACAAAAACTGGACGGTCTATAGTCAGGAGTACGTTTCATTGCTGCAAAATCGCCAACCATCGTCACTAGAGAGTCAGTGAATTTCATTCTAAAATAGAATGCCTCAGAAACATTCAGATAAGAAACAAATCAGAGTTTCTCGAACAAGCGTCTTAACGTTGAAAATAGCTATAAGTGTGAATTCTCAGAGCGAAACCTTAGGGCCTAATATTACGTAAAAAAATTTGCTTCCCAGCAACAAAACGCTCAAGAACGATGGGAATAACTTTGAAGTAAGAAAACAGGTGGCACAAGGAAATATGGTTCAAGAAATTGTCTATAATTAAGCAACGATTAAACATTGAGGACAATTTCTAAAGTGGATTCGGACAAAAATTTCTTAGATGCTAAACCTACACGTTGTGAATACGGAATCGTACCAAGTACTCGGCGAGTGTCACAAGTCGGATGGGGCAGAAAATCGAGCGGTGATGACGAAATTGTGGAGGAAAGTAAACGTATGGGAAGTGATCGTAATCAGATTGATCGTGTCTGACAAGCGCAAGGTGTCTGGTGACTTTATAGGGCCGGACGGCTGCCTCCCACCATCCAGTGAGTTTCTCCACCCACCACACGCCGTGATCTATGGAACAGTTCGTAATCGCGACCAACACCCGGACGAAAAGAGAGTTTGGAGAAACAACAAGGACCTAGATAAGAAGAAGTCAGTGTTTTCAGGACATGATTCTCAAATTGAAGAGGTTTTAGACAGTCAAAAGTGCGTTGATGATCCTCCATGTTACAGAATCTAGATCGACGTTTAGAGGTGGACGTCTCTAATGGTCATTCTTCAACGTAGCAATTAATTAATCTATACTCAATTAATAAAAAATATGTGGTGTGAAGTAAAATAACTTCAAGCAGAACATTTCCGGCAACGATACAAATTTATATGTCAGTAAAATGTGGCCAGGCCTTTTATTACAAACGATCTGTTTCGGCAAAGTAATGTAGATGTCTCGAAGACAAACCCTCATAATGGCCTTTTTAAGAGATATTCCAGCGAATTTTCCCGCTTTCAGCAATGCTGTTGAATCTTTGTTTCATGGATAAACTAACACGAAGTTCAATGTTTTTCTTCAATAAGCAGACACGAGGTTGTTAATGTAGAATTTATTAGAATACAATAGCTGACGTTTCGGTGGCTTCGCCTTTTTCAGAGCCGTTTATTTGTTGTAAGTATTTAAGTTAGTTGATGTATAACCGCCGCACAGAGTAATCCATGGGCGATAACTCTCGAGCTAATAAATTCTATATTAACAACCTCGTGTTTGCTTATTGAAGAAAAACATTGAATTATCAATTAATGCCGAGGTTAACAGAAAGTCGGTCTCGGGAATTAACACGAAGTTGTTATTTTGGCTAGCCGTTTAAGCCTTCGCATTCTTCGCAGCAGGAATGATTTGAGTCGAATGTCCACAGCAGTTCATTTTAAAGTAGGTACACTAAGAAAGCAAATTCAACGCAGAAGTAATGATTTCAGATGATAGATGTGTGCCATATACTGCAGCCGATCCGATTTCCCTCAACCGAAACTGCAGCGGCTTCAGACTGGTAGTGAATTCACGATGAATTCCTTGGCTTGAAAAGTGAGTACAGATTGAGCACTCTAGGGAAGTATTATTTATCAGATTCCCCAAAAATGAGTATTTCGTAGACTATAAAATCATGGTATTACGAAATGCCAGAACCCTCCGTTTGTGAGGATACGGTCAATTCCCGTGTCAGCTAGCCGACAAGTGAATTACTATGTCCCAGCAACATTCTTCTTCAAAAAAAGCAAACTCTCATATAAGAAAATTACTGAAGTAAATAACTCTACAATAGTTCAACAATCAGCGATGCGAAGGCTTTAATTGCGCAACCGTCTCTGATGCTAACCATTTATGTTACATATTTCGGTATAGTAAAATTTCCTACTTCGCCGATCAAGTCTCAGATAACGATTCTATATATGAGTTTTGTATTGCAGAGAGCATTATGCAAGTCACTATGAAACAGGTTTAGCCCAGCTTCATCAAATACGCAGGTCGGCAGGGGCGGCAAGTTATGAACTGACCATTCTCTCTTTTCGTTAACGTTGAATTCGCAGAATGAGTATATGAGGTGCCTTTTGTGAGCTCGCGCAATGGTTAATGACTAAAAATTTTACAAAACCTGTGTTATTAACAAATTAGAACCCGCTTTTTACCCACTATTCATGTCAAATGCATATATATAGCGCAACTGTTTGAATGCTCTGCAATAGTTGCTGGTTTCCGACTCCCTAGCAAACCTACCGTTCGATCTCTCCGACTTTGATGAATTGGGCCAGAGTTGTCTTGCAGATTAAAATCATTGACTTGATTCATATGTCGCCCACTAAGTTACTCTACAGGAAAATGTTCATTAAATCACTTCTATGATGCTTAATAGGTTCGATTGCTTATAGGAATTCTTATAGAATAAATTAACGCCGGAACCTTGGTACTTTATCACTGCCAAGGGCTCTGTTATTGCAAGAGGGCGATGCATTTTCTGGTTTCGGTATATTGTCAAGCAATGGGAGTTCTTAAATCGCTCACTCTTAATCTTAATATTATTCGGAAAAAATCCTGTTATCCCGAACGTGAGTGGAATTGCCTTTGGTCATTTACTAACTAAGGCGTTCTACTTTGAAAACACTGCTCGATTATTACTTATTCTCAAACTTTTTAAACAAAGTGGGCAAAAAATGAGAAAATTAGACGAAATGAGGATGAGGCGGAAGAGCTGTAAAATTAGAAAGTGAAGGAGTGCATAAAAGCGTTGTAATGAACACAAAAAGAGGAATGATAGACGAAATACAAAGACAATAGTCAGCTGAGTGCTTTTCCATAGTCAGACAGTTATAGCTTTTCTATAGTCCATATTAGAATCGTTTACTTCCCGCATGCCATTGAAGGCCATATTCTTTCTCCTTTCACCTTCTTTCTATTTTCTAAGTGAAATGCCTTAACACAAGTGTTCTCAAAATGTGAAAACAGATAAAGGATTAGGATAAAGCTCTCGATGTTGATCAATCCCTGAGGGATGCGCTATGCACTCGACTTCATTAAGCATCATAAGAGGTGATTGAATGCATATTTGGCCCTTACAATAACTCGCGGTAGCCTACCGTGTATCGAATCAGTGCTGCTATCCTCCCAGACAAGTTTGGTACCAATTTGCCGACCCCGGAGAGATGGAGGGCTTGATGGGCCATCGGGGCGGAAACCGATTCCATGTGTGTGCCGCAGTGGCGCTCCCAACCACTGGGCCACACGCGCCCCACACATGGAAACAAATAAGGGCAGTAAAAGCGCTAGGAAAAATATTTTCAGGAGACGTCCGATGAGTCACTTACATAACAAAATTGTCCATCACTTCTATTTATGAGCCACGTCCTTTATGGATGTTTTCCTATCTTCAAGTGTTTTTTATACGCAGATTCGTCATTAATTGGAATGAATGGGCTTAATTTCATAGTTATTCGTGATCTTACTTAATACATAACTTGTCAATCGGCCTTTATATAAAGTGCGATTCAGGGTTAAACAGAATGGTTTCACTTCGTAAGAAAACTTCAGATTATCGAGCCTAAGTAATCAAAAGAATGAGTGTTAACCTAAGCTTATGAACTCCTCGAAATCAACGGAAGACGGCCAGATGACTACAGAAGATTTTCCAGCGACAACTGTTGCACAAGAACCGTTAGTTTCTTGGTTTCAGAAGTCATTTCAGAAGAAGCACAGAATGAAAAATCTATTGGTCGAATAGTCAGACCAATTCATGAACACACTGGAGGAGAACAGTGACGTAAACCTACTGCGCACTTTTAGCACGCGACTTGATTGAAGAGAGAAAACTTTTACGGCGACCGCTCTAATCATTCGAAAATCAACAATATTAACAACACGACGATGGATGATGAATGCCAAAAGAGACAAAATAGCTCAAAAACATGTAAAATGACATCACTTCTTTCTGTTCTCCATTCTGAAAACAAAGGCGATAATGCTGTGATTCTTTTAGGGAGTTTAACGAATACATAATAACAGAACAGTTATATGAATGATCACTGATAGAGATTGAAACTCAGCACTGATCTGTTCTTTGGTTCCAGAAAAGTTTTCAGAACAACATCCCCACTACCTGTTTTTGATACAAATCAAGGTATCCGTGCCCTACACTTTTATAGGTATTGTTTTCTACTGAATGATGACCTTTATTGAATACCTTCTAGTAGTTTGACATTAAAATATTAGTATTATTCCGTTGACTTATGGTTGCTATGAATCATAATTCCTTTTTTCTTATACCAGTATGAAGCATTGGAGTGTGGTGGTCAGGTGCGCTCTTTGATCGTTGATATGACCAAGAGCCTAGTGTTAACCAACCCTCGCAATCCTTCTGGGCCAACTAATTTCTACTCAACTAGTATTTTAGGGTAAAAACACTAATTTAAGAAATCGCTAGAACCCAGGAAATCATTGTAGAGGTAAAATATGCATTCAGTTACGCCTCGATCTAGTTGACTGCATGGTACATCTCTGAAGGATCGATAGACACATTATGCTTCATTCTTATCACCTCTACCACTTTGCGCTCACTGGTTTTCGATTGATTCTACTAGGCGCAATAAAACTCCAATCGTACTTGTCACGTGTTGACAATGACTTATGGCTTTTGCTCGTGCAAGTGTCACGAGGCACCATAGTACAGGAAAATTTTTCAATGATTAAACTGTTAACATTAGAAAGTTGGGCTGGAAATGACCTTTTTGGAATAACTAACTCTTTTTTACAAAATGGGAGTGTCTAACGCGCGAAGAATTTGCAGTTTTTGTAGGACATAACAAGCAATGACACGACATTGTATTCATCATAAATGCCGAAAGTGTGGGTTTTCTTTCTTCGTATAATAGTCTTATAAAAGCAAGACTGTATTTGTAAGAAAGTACAGTATCCTTGTGAGTGAGAAACCTCTGAAATTTGACCTTGAAACAAGAAATAATGGAACATTTCACAGTACAAAAGATGTTTTGGAACTACGCAAGCAGACAGAAAGAAACGAATATAAAGATCAGTGCGTGTTATCAAATATGTGCCTTAGCAGCATAAAAAATAAAAGTAAACGATAAAGCTCTCGCGTTGACCAGTTTTTGAGAGGTGCGCCATGCATTCGAGTTCATTAAGCACCGTTTAGAGGTGAATGAATGCATATCCGGCCTTTACAATAACCCGCGCGGGGCCCTACCGATGCATCGAGTCAGTGCTGCTATCTTCCTGGCCAGGTTTGGTACCAATCTGTCAACCACGGATAGATAGAGGGGTTGGTGGGCCACGCGCGTGGGGTCGATCCCATGCGTATGTCGCAGAGCGCCTCCGACCACTGCGCCACATGCCCGCCACCTCCGTTAGCTGCATGTAAATAAATTTTATCGATGAAGTTTCGTTAATTTGCTGAGCGTGTTTTTGCACTAACTTAACTGATATGAGGTTGGATAATATCAATTCAATATGATGGGAATACTGTGTGGCCAGCCACATTTCCATGATTGTTCTTCCGTTGACCACAAAAAACTCACAAACGCTTATTGTTTTTTCCAACGACTTTTTTAAGTTGGGCAGCTGCTTTCGTTCAAAGCGATAATTCCTTGGTAAATAGTCCCGAGAAGAAAGTTGTCCCAATCACCAATCACTACGGTGCGCTTCATTTTAATTTACCAAGATCGTATTGTCATATCACTGAT